TTTAAAAGTCTTATTATTTGAATTAAAATGTTAAAAAATAAAATAAAGATGTACAACATTAAACTGACATGAGTTTGTTTGTTTAAATGAATTATTATTACTACTACAACAGAAGTAACAGAGGTACATATCATTGGAGGGCCATCAAAAATTGTCTTGGACAAAGGGGGACCTTGTAATCCAAAATATTTGAGACACAAAAAGTAATCCTTAATTAGACAGAATTGTGTTTGTGATAATTAAAACCTGATTTACTTCCTGCTTTTTGTTTCATAGCAAAATAAATGTAACAACTATACAATAAGCAGTTACTTTGTTTACGCTACACTATCTATACACCAGCATTTTGTTCCTTGTCATTTATAAAACCTAATTTCTATAGTCTGTGATAGAGATAAGCTGCAGGCCATGTTACTACAGCACACTAACATTAGCTTCAGGCAATAAAACTGCTCAGTGCAGGTCGAGCATAAGCTGTTCTCACATCCTGATCATATTCCCTCTTTTTTTTCCCTCCCACTTCTTTCCTGTTTATATCTGCTGCCAGATACATTAAAAACATAAAATATGCCATGAAACATTCATTCTCTATTTCTCATACTGTATATTATCATAACAGTATCCATCAATAAACCAACAATTTTCAAGTTTCCAGTTTCACTATAGGAATTTCAGCTGGAAACATTATGACACGTTGGCAGCACTTTTTTTTTGAGGGATAGTATCAGTTTCAGCATGTTTCATGTTTCTTCAGAGGCTGAGGGATGTAGTCTCCTGTCCCTCCCTTCTCATCTCAGTCTGAACTCAAATCAAAATGGCACAGCCTCTACTCTTTGTTCTCATCAGTACACTTTTCTATAAAGGTAATTGTTGGAATTTTTCTTTATGCATTTGTTAGTGTTAAGTATGTTTGATTTAATTTTGTAGGGTTTTCTATAGTACATTGTGTAACTAGGAGAACTGTGTTAAAACCAGGATTTAATAGATTAAAATAAGGTTAACTGAACTGAATCTTTGTAGTACGAAATGCAGCAGACTTATTGTATTTCCTTAGTGTCCTAGATTTACTTTGCATTATATCATATTTTTCAGAATTTATATGCTTTGACAAGACTTTTCTAAAAGGGTTAGGGGTTATTCATTTAAATTTGTTGCGCTTAGAGATTTGTTCAATTTCAGTAAATTCCCTAACCTGCTATCAGTGCATACCTGAGACATCAGTTAAATGCACTGAAACTAAAGTGGAGTGTCCTGTTGGTCAGTGTGGGACTATGAGAACCACATCTTATATGGGTAAGTTTTGGGCAGATTGAATATTTGAACTGAAATAGTCATTTTAAAAATGAGGCTGATGTCAAATTCTGCTGTAGGAAACAACACATTGGCTGACATGACTATGAAGAACTGCTCTGAAACGCATCAATGCGTGACTGCATCTGCAAACTTTGGAATTACAAAAATAGTCATTAACAATCAGTGCTGCAATACTAACCTGTGCAATACCCAGACTGAACCAGGTAAGATTAACACCGGACCAAGAATATTATCATGTGACAATAAAATGTATTTACATCCGACATGACTTCCGCTGGAGTACAGCATATTTTGTAACTTTAACTATGCATATTTCAAAGAATCACCCAAGATGATCCCAAATGGAATGCACTGCTACACCTGCAGTGGAGAAGATTGTGCATCAACTTTACCTTGTGTAGATGAGGAAGATCATTGTATCAAGGTAACAGGTAAGATAAGACAAAAATCGTCACAGAGAAAAACAGAGCTCTAACATTTAACATTATTAATTAGATTTGTATTTTTATATTACATATATCCTAAATATATGCTGTACAAAGTAGGCCGGTTTACCCCAAGACATTAAAGCAGCACTATGTAACTTTTGGCGCTCTAGCGGTTAATAAACAGAACTGCACACATCCCGCGGAAGAACATTACAACCGGAGCTACTTCTCTAAGTTTATGTCTATGGCGATTCACGCAGGTATGTGTTACTCCGCAGCGGTGACGACCCGACCAGGCTACAATAGTCCAAATATAAGTACTTATTATAAGTGTACCGTAGTGATTCGGAATAAGACAAAAACGCGGTTTGGAAGATGAATTCATGATGTACTCGCTCATTATATACATTTTGCCAGTTTTGAACACAGAAAAAGTTACATAGTGCTGCTTTAAGCAGCACAACTGTTTTCAAGTGTGAAACAAATGTTACTCATGTTTCTTGAGCACCAAATCAACAGTGATTTCTGAAGAATCATGTGAAACTGAAGTCTGCTTGAAAAAAAAAAAAATTTTTTATACATTTCGCCACCTTGGAATTAAAAGGTTCTATCTGCATTCTGAGCAGTTTTGAGATATTGAGCTTCAAAGTTTTTGCGTTCCGTAGACTTCTGTAGATAGAACCCTTTTTTTCTAAAAAAAAAAGGCCCAAAATTAACATCACAAAAGAAACATCACATAATGTAAATAAGTTGCCACAGAATAAGAAAATGTGAATAACTCCATTTTGACAAAAATGTCAGATAGAACCTTATAATTCCAAGGCGATGATTTGTAATAATATTTCACAATTTTATCGTTTTTACTGTATTTTTGATCAAATAAATGCTGCCCTGATGAGCATAAGAGAAGATACGTAATCTTAATGGCCCCACACTTTTGAATGGTGTACATTCAACTGCATTAAACAACTTTGGTTAGTTTTAAAAATGTTATTTGCTAAATATGAGATATAATATGAGTCTAAGGGTATTTCTGACATCAACATGTCACCGGAGTCGAGTGCTCAGCACTGCAGGCAATGAAACGGTGTCATTTTTCAAAGTCTCACTGCCCCAAATGAGATTCTTTTGTGTCAATGTTGTTTTAAAGGTTTTGTAACATTTTTTCCCACTTCATCATTTTCAACAGTCTTTAGTGATGGACAGATGATGACGATGAAAGGATGTGTGACCAGAAGTTTTTGTATGGGTGACTTGTCCACCAAGATCGGTCAGTCCAGCATAGCGGCGGAACAGAGCTGCTGTAAAGGTCATCTGTGTAACAGCGCTCAAACAGCCACTCCGAGCCGCTTCTTTCAGCTGGGGATTCTGATGTACGCCATACTACAGACGTCATTTTGAGTTTTCAATTCTCATGATTCTCTGAGGTTTCAATTTTACAAAAAAATTAAAAATAACAAATAAAATCCAGCCAACATTCTTGCATGTTGGTTATATCGATTAAATGATCATCTAAATATATATATTGTTAATGCCTGATTCTAGAATGTGAGTATTGGTGACATTAGAGTGCTTGTCAAGATGTTCATTTTGTATATACTGAAATTTTCATTTAGCCATTGTTGACTCTCTTTTCAAATATTCAACAAAAACAGATATAATGGCCAGTAACTGTGACTTACTCTTCTGATCTTTTTTTTTTAAACTAACATATCTTTGGTCTGAACAACCTATTCCTGAGAGACTGGTGTGTAACGGTGTACAGATGTTTACTGATTATATTTTCCTTTCAAGAGGGTGTAGATTTAGGTTTCTACATGGAATGTAGTTTCGATACACTAATATTTTGTTGCACAAATCCTTATGCCTTGGGCCTCTGAATTGGACAAAGGAGATGAAATCTGATGATCTCAAAGCATCTCTTTGTGTTAAACTTCTTTTTGGGACTTTTGCAGACAGTAATATAGTATATATTTATATCATTTCATTTAGTTGATCAATATCACACGAAGAGTGCCATTTTTTTCACGCAAAAATCACAAATGTGATATTGATTTTATATGTTGGTTAGGGGGACCCCCCCCCCCCAAGAGCTTTGACACAATTCTAACACTGTATATATATATATCAAAAGTTTGGGGTCAGTGAGACTTGTTTCTTTAATGAATTTATTTGATTAAAAATACAGTAATATTGTGAAATATTACAATATTATATACGTTCTTATATAATACACAATATTTGTATTTACTACATATAAAACCTTTTGTAACATTATACATATCTATATCACTTTTGATCAATTAAATGTTATAAAACTTATTAAAATGTATTTTATTAATTTATTGTGCTGAATACAAAAAACCCCCACAAACTTTTGAACTGCAGCATTCCTTACGTTTTTCCCTGATAACTATTTTTAGGTTAAATTATGATTTTAGGATGCCAAGAACGAAGTCTTCTGAATGCATTTACATCTGATTTACATGATTTTAAATGTCAGACACATCACATTTGAACTAAAATAAATAATAACAATAATAAAAAAACACCACATAGTAAAATCATTGTGTTAAATTATTTTTTAATCCACTCACATGAAATTACATATTTTCCCTCCAAATAACATTTATGCTTGGGTGTTCTGTATGAAAATTCCAGAGACATGACACAAAGCTAGCCAGCCCGATAGTACTCCCTTTCCTCCCCATATTAACTACTTCATAGCCACATGCATATTAGGCAAGTATCAAAAGAAATTAATGGAAAAAGGTCAAAAATAAAAAAACAAAAACAAACCCATTTCCTGGAGAACTAAATCACACTAGTATTTCCTACTGCTCTGCTTGTAGAGTCATACAGTAACAGTATCAAGCAATATGTGCTCTTTGTTCTTAGGGTCCTCTATACCTCGTAATTAACAGGGAATAAGTAAATGCCATTTGCAGGGCACCAAATGCCTGGAATAAGAAACTTGAAAGAGACATAAAATGGAATGCAACTTCTTTCTTGCCCATCATTTTGCAGGACATGTGAGCGAGCAGTTCACTGTATGACGTGTGACGCTGCCATTGCTTCTTTCCTAGCTAAAGCCTAGCACTGCTGTCCTCACCTCTACTCGAAGACAAGGGCCGTTTATAATGCAGACGCTTAAATTGCAGGTGTACATAATGACCATGACAAATGACTCCTCGCCAGAGATTTACATACAGTATACGAATAACAAAAGGGTTTAACTTGCAACTTTGCCCCACCCACCTCCCGTTACACAAATCCTTAGAAAAAAAACCCCCACAATGACAGGGAAGGAAGAAAGCAAGGAAGGCGCGAGAGTAAAAGAACTAAAAGAGACAGAAGTTGACGATGAGGTGGTCTCAGTGTTGAGCTGGAACGATGGCAGGTGAATAACAAGGGAAGGACGGACAGTGCGTGACTCAGTTTTCTCTGCCCTCCTCGGTGTCCTCGCCGTCACCCTGGTTATCTGAAGTCCACAGCTGTGAAACGGAGGAAAGGACACTAGTTAGTCATGAACACCTCAACACCTGCTCCTAGTTAGTCATTAACTGAGCAAGCTACATAAAAAAAGAATGAATGCTAAGAAACTTTCTTTGAAACTAGGGCTAAAAATAATTGCGAATTTTTTTTTTTAATAAGTTATTTAAACCGCTAATAAATAAGACCGCAACTTACCAAATGAAATAAAGCAAATAAACCATTTAAAGTCTTTTATAACAATGGTTAAGCGCTGGCTTAAAAAAATCCTGTTCTCAGCTTTAACATTAATAAATTATTATCTGGTGTAAACATGCATAATATGTCTAAGAGTAAATATGTGTCATAAAATGGTTTTGTACTGCTCCTTAAAACCCCAAAAAATATTGATTTGTGATTTTTTTGGAGGCAAACCAAAAAACAGTTAACAGACATTTACATTATTCTGGCAGATGAGTAAAACAAAATAAACGTTACAAAAACTTATAATTTATTAAATTTTTATTCAACTTACAGTCCTGGTTTAAATGATCAGTGTCTTTCAATTCTTTTTTTGAGGTAATTAGTGTACAATCTCTCTACATAAACATATACATGTGTATATGTATGTATGTACTGTATGTATGCCGGTATATTTGATATATATATTGATTTTATACAACAGTTCAATGAACAAGAAGTTAATATTAAGAGACTTGCGTTTTAGACACCATATTGAATATTTTCTTGCTCTATTTCGCCAGTGTTCACTTTCAGCGCTGAGGAGTGTTGAGAAAAGAACCCTCACCGGGGAGTCTAGCCTCCCTTCTGATATCAACCAATCATCATAGAGACGTAAATTACGTGATATTAGTTTGAACGTCTGCCGCTGCGCTGATAATGTACCAAGTACTAATGATGAGTAGCGATATTGAATATTTGATTGCCAACAGATTTACCAAGCTGTCATTCAAACAGTATATATACAAATTTAAAAAAAGGGAAAACAGCCTAAGCTGGATATAGGCTACAGCAGTCGGCTTAATTAAATGGCGCAACAGACAGCTCTCTTTTAACACAGACTTTTAAGAAGGGATGGATGTTTGCTTCAAGTGATAGGCCAGGTAAGTGAAATAATTTACGTTTTATGACTAAAAGCAACCAAAAAGCCATTTTAAAGTGGTTAAGCAAATAATAATAATAATAATAATCGGCAGGGATCCCAGACCAATACAATTAGTGTGCCTCCTCTATTTTAAAACCCACGAGCCGCCACTGGGTCTAACATTAGTTTTTAGATACAGAAATTTAATAAAGTAATCAAATGTAAAGTAGCATTGCATATTTTACTGTATAAATTAAAGATTAATCTTTATTAAAGTTACAAAAGCTATTTAATTTAAGAGTAGTGAGAGATTTCCTTGTTGTTGCTGTTTGATTAATATTAAGAAAGTGCTGTCACTTTAAGAGAATGCACTGATACAGTACGTTCAGCCGGCTATGTCTGCTATGAAACTTACCAAGACGGGCATTTTGACAATTTTTGTGTGAATTTGTCGATTCAAACAATACTTCAGAGAGAGCTTTATATTTGCGCAAGTTCTGAGGCGCGGGTTCACGCGCTTCGGATGAGCACGCACACAAATCTCCAGATGTGGGCCGAATCTGGGCCAACACTACGTTGCTGTCTGGGCTGTTTGTTTTAAGTGATGTTATTTATAACAAACCATAATCTGGGTACTGTCTTACGTTTTAAAATCACAAAGGGAGTTTGGCTCAATCAGGCTAACGTGACAGTCACGACTCATGCAGCTGTCAGGTTTTCTTTTTCTTTTGTTTTCACTCGCGATCTTTACAACACGCATTACATTACGTATTTCATGGCACACTCGTTTTATGCGTATTTGGCGCCACCTATTGTTGTGGGTGTATTATTGACATGTCAAAGTCTAGACCCTGAATATAAGACGACCGCGTTTTTTCAGATGTATTTCCAAGAAAAAAACATCGTCTTATATTCGGGACAATACGGTATATACACACACACACACACACACACACACAAGCAATTCTTTGACAATAGTGAAATCTATATACTATTTGTCTATATCCTATAGTTATAACGTTATACATTAACTATAACAATGCTGTTGGAATCAGAACGATTTATTCCAGCTGATGAATGATAAAACATTGACAATCAATGAGAATTCACCTGACTTTAGAGAGCCCGAGGATTTAAAACGGCAGATTATACATGTATATATTATTATGGACACTAATAGTTATCGTTCTTTGTGTGAACGGGCCTTAAATCTATCAGTGACCTATAGCCCACAAAAATGCATTTAGTAACTGGACTAAATTAACCGGGTAATTTTAATTTAACCTGCTACTAAAGAGAAACTCACTGTCAAATTGTCCCGAAGTAGCTGCATGATCAATGTGCTGTCTTTGTATGATTCTTCATTCAGTGAATCAAGCTCTGCAATGGCCTCATCAAAAGCCTAGGAGAAAAAGATCAACCAAGAACAAGATGAGTGATAAGTTATGGGCATAAGATGATAATATTTTGAATTGACAATATAATTGTGGGTAACACTCTTAATATTGTTTATTAGCCTGTGTGCGTGTGGGTGTGTGTTAACCTTACCGTTTTGGCAAGCTTACAGGCCTGGTCGGGCGCGTTGAGAATCTCGTAATAAAATACTGAGAAATTGAGCGCAAGGCCCAGACGAATGGGGTGTGTGGGCTGCATCTCTGCCTTACTGATTTCAAAGGCATCCTTGTAGGCCTCCTGTGAATTGCCAATGATAGCTGGAGATACAAAGAGAAAATTGTGTGAATGTAGTTGCATATTTTCAAGATTTGATGATAATTAAACAACATTTATATAATAAGCTTAAAGAATAATTTGTGTAACCATTTATGTCTAAAACGTCACTGAAACTGAACTATGAATTGAAATTTCAATTTAAACTTGGTACTGAATTAAGCAAGATCACACTCACACCTGTGCTAATGTGCTGAATATTTAAACTTGAAATATTTAAACTTTTAAAATGAACAACTTGTGTGATTTTGCTTTATTCCTTTCCTTCAATTTTGAATAAATTCAAAAAGTAAAATGAAATGAGGAATAAGCACCAAAAAGATTATTTTCAGCAGACATGAACAAACACTGCTGTAAACCAGTGAAATGACTTTTTTCACTAGGGGGCGTTAAAGCACAAACTTTCCATTTAGGACAGTTCAGTTAGAAAATTTTATAAAGCTTAGCACTAGGCACTTTTAATATTACACTTAAGAAAAATAAAGAGAAGAAAACATTGTCAGAATTGAGCTATTCTGATCAACCAACAAAAGACAATTTAAAATTATGAAACTATATTTACAATTGACTATATATTACCTATTTAAATCATCACAAATTATTTTTATTTTGCCATTTTTAATAGCACTGCCATCCTGATAACTGCAATCACCCATTGTAAAATATTTTTTAGCTTATAACACATTTTTAGATCCATTTCCTCTGTAGAAGGCAAGTCTCTGCTCTGCTTTCACTATGCGTCGCCTATGACTTGACAGACATGAAGAGCCACAACTGTTTCTTCAAGAAGCCATTTCTGTTTGATTGTACTCTGCTGCTAGCAGACACAAATCAGTCCCTTTAAGGCAGGTCATGTCACTCGGTGGCCATCTTTGAAACTTTGCACTTTGCAAGTGCAGCTCCTATCTCTTTGAATGGGGAAACATCAAATTCTCCAAAACTGTTCACTAAGCTTAAGATTAAATTTCATATTTGAAATCACCAATGAAATCTGACAACAACTGTATCATAAATGTTGTTTATTTTGCTCAAATACCGTTAAAAAAACTTATTTTTCAGGCTAGATCAGCCAGTGCACATGCGCAGTCCTAACCGCACGTCTCAGAGCGTTGACTGTGGGCGAATTCCAAGCGGCTTTTTTGTGCCCTTCAAGGGCACTTCGGGAAGGTGACGCCATTTGTAACTGAATCCCTTCACAAAGGGCCCTTCCAGAAGTCCGTTAGCAAAGGGAACATGCGATGGTCACTTCACGAAAGTGATTTCTGTTTGTGATCATGTGATCTTCAGTTAGGAGCTCTTGCGATGCATTTTAAAGCAAAGTTGGGGTTGATTTCGACTTCACATACAAATGTAAGTAGGATAGGCTGATTAAATTTGTCTATTTTAATGTGATACAAAATATTTTTTGTCAGTGATAGAACTATGATTTAAGACGGTAGTTTAAGCATGTTTAGTTTGAAAAAGTTTAATAGTAAATAAGACACAGTGAGACGATATTTAAATAAAATAATAATAATGCTCTGCCCTTCTAAGGGAGTAGGGCATAGGGATGCTCACTTCTGTTTGGATTCGCCCTGTTTCTATAGCAACCGGGACTTCTAACAGCAGCTGCAGTGACGCACTCACTTTACCGATTAGCGATTGGCTCTTTTGCTCAGAAGGCGGGGCTTCGTTCCATAGAGTGGCCATACTGAATGTTGCATTTTTCTAGTGTTCATTTTGTCAGCTATTTTCATTTTAGTCTTAGTCCCGTGTTAAAATGTCCTTGTTAGTTTTTATCCTATTTAGTCAACCTTATCCTATTTAGTTTTAGTCAACTTTTAGTTGACTAAAAGTCTCAACTACCGCATACCGTGATAAAAGCATTAGCAATTAATCGCAACATGAAAATTTGATACCGGCATATCCCTATTTAGTTATAATATTTAGACAACCATGTCCTGTTTTTGTTTAGTCAAGTTTAAGTCAATGAAATGTATAAGCATTTTAGTCAAGTTTTAGTCAATGAAATCTTAGTCACATTTTCGTCATTCTGTATATAATGGTTAAACTGATAAAAAATATTTTTCTCAAAATTACAATCGTTAAAAGCATTAGCAATTAATCGCAACATGAAAATTTGATACCGGCATATCCCTATTTAGTTATAATATTTAGACAACCATGTCCTGTTTTTGTTTAGTCAAGTTTAAGTCAATGAAATGTATAATGGTGTATTTTACCTCATCTAGTGTACTGATTTATTATAGGCTTTTTATTATATAATTTAATACCAAAGACTTATGCAATCTCTCGGTCTACATTATGACAACAGCTAAAACAAACGAAAAATATTATAACGGTGAAATTCCTAGTAGGCCTAATTCCAAATGGCAATAGCCTATTTCTCTATTAAAACAACAGCGGTTGAGTAAGCGTATTTATTCAGCGATCACAATCGCAGAAAATGTATCAATGTAACAGCGAAGCTCTGATTCGGGGATTTGAGCTCCTGATATCTGGCAATCGCACTCATAAAAGCTCGCGTGGTAGAGGCGTGTAGAGCAGACCGCAATAACATTTTGTCTCCTTTTTTTGACGAAAATAAAGAGGTTTTTGGTAAAGTTTGTATCTCTTTGAATACATTTTAGTCTCGTCTTATTTCGTCAACGAAATTGCATGTTGATATAGCTTGCCGTAAAAATGGGCGCGGCCATTTGTAGATTCTATGTGTCTAGCTTCCGGTCTCATCCGCGTCCAGATATTTTTAGCTGTACAGAACCGCTCCTTTTGCTGCTTGATATTGAAAATTTATATGTCTTACCATATTATTTTAATTATCAACACACTGGTTTGTAGTGCAAACAGTTTTACCGTTTACTGCATGTTGTTATTCTTCTCGGTTTTTCCCTATAGCGGCTAATGAACCGGAAGTCTCACCCATAGGCTTACTTCCGCGTTGAATAAAAAGGTGGGTAGTCTTTGACACAAATCTCTTAATAAACCTCAAGATTTTCAGAATGTGTTGCTAACAACTTAGCACTAGGTATAAGATTTCACAGTTAGAATGATGTAGGGCCTTTCAGTCAACACCATTGTACCAAGAGTACAGTGAGTACTAAGCATCTGATGGCTTCAGTGAGAGACAACTGAATCAATATAAAAAGGGAATTATATTCGATTTCCTTCTTAACAAGACAGAACAGGAATCCGACAAGCTGTGAAGCAGCTCTGGAGCTCCACCCACACACAGGATCTCATTCATTCAGTAAGGTGGGTGGACTCGCATGTCTGCACCTGTTCCAATGAAGGAAGGAAATCAGACTGCTAACAGTTTCCCCTGTAGACCTAAAGACCCTCCTTTTATTATTTTTTCTCTCTCTCTTTCCCATAACTGAATCCTAAGCCACACCCTGAGAGCCTGTCAACCTCCTGGCACAGGAAGGCTGCCGCAAGATTCTTCCTGTTATGCACACTGCGGCCCTGTTCCTTTCTGACTCTACCAAGACAGACAATGGAGAGCAAACCATTTCAAGGTTTATATAGTATCTGCTTTAAATAGAATAAGCCTGTGAACAGTGTCTGGTAATTACCTAAAACTACAACTGAAATGTTTGAGGTCGGCAAGTTTCTTTATATATATATATATTTTTTTTGAAAGTCTTATGCTTACCAAGGATGCATTTATTTGATCAAAAATACATAATTTTTATATTGTGAAATATTGCTACAATTTAAATAACTAATATAACATAAAAATTATTTAATATAATTTAAAATGTAATTTATTCCTGTGATGGCAAAGCTGAATTTTCAGCAGCCATTACTCCATTCTTCAGTCTCACGTGATACTTCAGAAATCATTCTAATATGCTGATTTGCAGCTCAAAAACAATTGTTCTTATTATTTATCATTTCATAATAAAAAAGAAAAAAACAGTTGTGCTGCTTATTATGGAAACCGTGAAACATGTTTTCTGGATTCTTGGAAGAATAAAAAGTTTAAAAGAACAGCATTTATTTGTTGTAACAAAGTAAAAGAGTCACTTTTGATCAAATGAATTCATCTTTCCTGAATAAAAGTATTCATTACTTTCCCTCCCAAAAAAAATAAATAAATAATTTGAGGCAAAAACATGGTACCATTTTACTATTGAATTTTTCACTGAGGGAGGCAAAGTTTATGAATGGACCACAACTGATCACCACCCCCCCAAAAACAGATCCTCTTTAGAGATATCCACCCCCTTACTTCCTCTCAAGCTTGGCTTCGTGTCAACATTTTGCGGAAACGTTACATTTTTAGCAGAAGTTAGTATGGTCATAAGCAGGTGGTGGAGACTAGTCACTACCGCAGCTTTGAGAGCCATGCAGCATTGTTCAAATGCCTACATCATTAACTACTAGCTAACACAATCTGACATTGTTAACCAGATTTAATGATATAAGGAGCTCCAGGGGGTGCTAGACATCCATCTCAATCTTTCTAGTACATTTAAATTTACTAAATTCACCGCAGAACTTTTAACATTTAATTGAACATAAAGAATACATTTCATTTACACTGAAGTCAATGAAGTCCAAAACAAACCATTCTGGACCACAGTAACTTTCAATTTAAGGACCAAAAAAGGGAGAAAAGAAGAATAAAGTCATGCAGGTTTGGATGGAACAACCTGAGGGTGAGTAAATTTTTGGATGAACTTTCCCTTTAATATTAAGGATAGACTTAAGAGAATGGCTTACAGCTTTTCTCCTCTCCCACAGCCACCTCTGCTAAGTAGCGAAAGTAATCGCCTTTCATTTTCAGATAGAAGACTTTACTTTCAGCCGGTGTCGCCTTTGGGATGAGGTACTTGTCCAGAAGAACCTGCGACACACAGACAAAAGAGAAAATCCATATTAGCGGTTTGTCAAATGGTTTCATGTCCTGGTTTCAATGTGGTAGTAGGAAAGGGGGAAGTAGTCCAGAGTACAACAAGAGTCAACCAGTAGTAAAAAGATGAACAGATAAGATAGAGCTCTGTAAAACTAGTTTGACAACATGTTACAAAAAGAGGCCCAGGTGAAACCATGAAACCTCTCGAGCAAAATGTGTCCGGCACCGGGATGCCATTTACTGTAAACACCCTTCACAGTAAAAGACCCTTCACTTAGTCCCAACAATGTGGTTTCTAGAATTTCAGCATTCTGGGCATTTTTAGACAACAACCTTGGATTGCCTTTAGGGCTGACAGAGGCCCGACGGCTTGTGGCAAGACTGCAGTTTCACAGATGCTTCTGAGACTTTCTGTTGCAGGGAGGGAGGAAGGGGAGAATGGGAAAATTGACTATGCTGTGTGAGCTAGAGCTCGTGGAACTAGGTCATTGAGGTTGCTGGGCTGTTCACAACTCGACTGGCCTGATTGTAGCCACCCTGAACAGAACCACAGGCTCGTCGTTGCAACACAAGCATCCTTAAACTCTCCAATGACGCCCTAACAAACCACCTTAAAGGCACAATTAGACTTGTGCCGGTATTCGGTAATGCGATATATCACGGTAATGAATATGCACAATATTGTTATCGTGGGCACTTCTAAATACCGTGAATAATTATATATTACAAATTATTCAGAATTTTGAATGCATTTTAAGAATACTTTTCCCATAAACTGGTCAAAATGCACAACAGCGCTGTTCAAAGGAATATGCGCCCTCTAGTGGCAAAAAATTACATATTGTGCCTTTAATGATGGAGGAAGTCTTATTGGAGCAAATTGATTCGGTCAAGGTCACTAATAAATATGGATCATATATTCTCATCTGATAAGTCTGTGACCTTACATCAAAGGTCAAAATCACAGGACTTTACAGGCGCAAAAGATGCAGGGATTTCCATAATCAGAGGAATCGTTTAGGCATTTCAATTCAAATTAGTCATTTAACCTTGTTAAGTCACATGTCACTGATGAACCAATGACCTACTTGTGCTTTCAATGGTGGGGAGCAATGCATGGCATCAGAACTAGACTTGTGCCGGTATTCGGTAATGCGATATATCACGGTAATGAATATGCGCGATATTGTTATCGTGGGCACCGTGAATAATTATATATTACAAATTATTCAGAAAACTGCCAATTAAAAATTCTTCTGAACATTCATTAATCTTAGGTATTCCAATATTTAATAACACGTTGTTAAAATCTAAAGTTGCAACTGTGTTATTTAATGAGCTAACATGAACTAAGACTTGTATTTTTTAAACAAGGATTAATAACTTCTGTAGCAAATGTAGTTATTGCTCATTGTGAATGTTAATGCATTAACTAAGGTTAACTAATGAGGTCTTATTGTAAAGTGATACCTATTGGTCTTTATAGTTCTTTTGCACTTTAATCTGTGTAAAACTTTTGACTTTATACATTTTTCTGTATTGCTTTATTGCATTTAAATGTTCAGTTATTTTTGTTATAAGAAAAATGTTATTAAACCTGTTATACTGTATCATGACAGCACTTTTTTAAACTAAATGTCAATACCGTGATAATACCGCATACCGTGATAAAAGCATTAGCAATTAATCGCAACATGAAAATTTGATACCGGCATATCCCTAATCAGAACACAATTCCATAATGTAGCTCTAAGCTGACAGACACAGTTATGGGTTTGCATAACCATCTGCTTCCCCATCGTCTTCATCAAGTCGAGACATGTGGATGGAAGATCACAGCAGCTTGTGTCAGGAGAGCGGTTTTATCTTTTCATTTGATGTGTAGATAGTGATAATAAAGTGTGATTTGCCAACTGCCACTCACCACTTCATCCATATAAAATAACACAATATAAAGCTACATTCACATTACCGAAACTTCAGTTAAATTTGTGAAAAAAGTCCATTGTCTATTGTCATTAGTGTAGAGTGATGTAAAGCTCAGGTCACTTTCAAATCAAGCAGTTTTCTGAATCTGTGTGACCGTTGTGAAATCTGTGTGGTGAAATCTGTGTGGGGAAATCTTTCATCCTCACGCAAAATTCCCATTCGCTTGGTTTGCTATTGAAATGACTGAAGTTTGCTGGGAAAAAAAATAAATAAATAACACTGAGCTACAGTAAACGTGACGACGCCATAACTATGACAGACACAAGCAAGTAGTTTCCATATATACTACATAAAGAAATGCAACAGAACAACTTGTACCTGAACTTCAGGGGTCTCAACCCTCTTTTTAGTTGTGATATACTGTCTCAGTCTAAATTACATTCACACTGGTGTTTTAGAAGCCAAACGAATTAGAATATAATAATATTATATAACAAATTCTTAATTTGACAGAAATAATGCTGGAGAAAAACTGACTGAAGTAAATAGGCATGTTTTTTGCATTATGAGTGTGAAAACAGAGAGATACGTGTTCATGAATTTTTATAATTGCCTGTGATTTTGCTGCATTGCACAGCATTTTTGCTTTCTACATAGAGAAAAAAACACTTGCCATTGAAATCTTGTCCTATCATGCCTGGGTAGGATGTAGTGTAAGGGTTTTAAAGTACTAAATGAACATTAAGTTACATAATATTTAGGAATTAACATGAACTCATAGTCTCCTTTCATTCTCCTAAATGCAAAAGCGGTGAAAGTAAAAAGTCCCTTTGGCTGTAACGTGGAGAGCTGCAGATCAGTGGCCCAAAAAACTGGAGCTCAGCTGCTGTCATTATGGGATTAGAGGTGACTCAACCTGTGCGCTAACACAGCCCTGTGGCCTTCAGCCACTTTCATGCTATGTCCACACAAAGTCAATTTATCCCCTCCCTTCAACACATCAGGCAGCCTGGCCAAAATACTTATTCTACTTTGGTTTGAGCTCATCGTCACCAGGACCTGATGAAGAAGAAAGATAAGAAAACATATACTGTCCTAATGAAAAGTCATGCTCATCAACAAGCAGCTGTAGTAAAGTGTTGTACTGTGCCCATGTTTGGTCCACAACCACATTGTGGAGTTCAGCCGTCCTCATGCTCTCTGGAGGCCTCTTCACTTCCCACACCTCATTACATAGCCTCTTCTCTCCCACCCAAGCAGCTGCTAAAAGCTAATTAGCTGCCTCTCTCACTTACTCAGACATTGGCCGAAGTCTCAGAGTGAGTATGTTTCTCAGGGGACTTCACTTATGGCTTACTGAGTTGAAGTGGACTTAAAACTCATGTCTTCTGTAATGTTCAAGGACTTGGTGATACGTTACTAGCACAACTCAAGTGTTTTTTCACTGGTTGAACTCACCAGTCTATTGGCACAACTGCAAAAAAACAGGTGAGATAAAAACAACAACAACAAACAAACAGATGAGTTACTTTTATTTTACTAACCCATTTTTGGACGTTTTATTTTATACTAAGCTGTTTTTTGACAATATTTTTTAGAGGTGAATTTAACCATAATTTAAATTATTTGAACTTAACCAAATATTATTAAAAATTTAACAACTCATAATAATTCTTATATCCGAAACATTTACAAACAACTTTTCTGTTCCACTACCATTACTTAAAATGTGCAAGCTATTTAATGTTAACTAACTGACAAATAAATAAATAACCAATGTTTTAGCAAATTCACTAAGTATGTCTCCATTTTGGGATGGAAAGGACAACTTTTGTCAATCTCCTTATTAATCTATTTTACATTGAGAATACTGTTACACTCAAAAATCCATTGCATTACAGAAGTAAAGTGAATTGCCAACAATGATTCACAATGACTTTAAATTTATAGACACATTTCACCCTAAATTCAAATATCACAGCTTTTTTGTGAACCCACTTTCTGTGTATGACCTCCAATTCAAAATAATAGTTTACAGGCATTAGACCAGATGGAGCCTGTATCAAGCAAAATGTTCTAGCTTTTTCGGATCTCTAATTCTTCCAAAATGACACAAAGATACATTTTAGATAACAGCATGGTGTTCTTAAGCACAAGTACACCTTATATACAGTCTGCACAATGTAAGGCAAGTGTTTAGGAACCTCATTACATAAAGTCTATGCAATGTGAATTTCCGTGCTCTACAGAATCTATATAAAACTGTCATTTCTGTATGCAGAAACAGAAGTTAAATAGACCCTGACCCCTTAAATCTGTCATCAGGGCTACAATAACTGTCCCAAGGTAAGGACACCTGTGCATGCATTGGAACAAATGAGATCAGGCCTGGACTAATAGGCTTGGCTAAAAGAGGGCCTTGCTCATGTTGAGTAATTAACGCAAGCAGGATTATCAACATGCGTTACCCACCAACACTTGGAATAAAGAAACAGGGACAAGAGCAAATGTGCGTATATTGTGCGTATCCCTGGGTAAGAATAAAAACGATTGGGATTATCTCAGTTGTAAGATCCTTACCAGTACATCATTGCAGATGTCCTTCAACTCCTTCTCGATCTTTTCCCGATATTCCTTGACCATTTGCTGCTTCTTATCGCTGCCCTCCGTCTTCTGCTCGATGCTGGAGACCACTCTCCAGGAAGAACGGCGGGATACACACATACACACACACACGTGCTGTAATATTTATCTATGGTCAGTTTGCTTCATCTGTCCTTTTTTATTTATCCATTTATTTATTTATTTTTATTATTGAATATATGCAAGAACACTGGACAAACATCCTTGCGGAAGTGCTGAAAAATTCCACAGCAGTGAATCAATTTTGCTGGCATATCAGATATCACAAGATGTGCTGCTGTGCTACTCTTCTGACCATGCACATTATATAATGCCATGCATATTATATAAATAAAATATAGCTTGGCTTTTTGCACTAGCTCGCTCTTGTCCATGGCTGCTCAGTGCTGGGGAAAATGAGAGTTACAGAGTTCAGTCAGACACCATATCTGATTTATTTAAGGTGTAACAGGCTACCTACAAACCTACCCTGAAAGTTTAGTCCAGCAAGAACGCAAGCTATGAAGGGCATAGGAGGCCATTTTTGTTATGTGATTAAATAAAAGTATTTAGTTATAAATCAATGACAATAACATTTTTTTGATTTAAACAATTTTTTGACAGATTCCTAAAATGTGTTTTCTCTTTATTATGGCAGGTGGTCTAATAAATTGTTAAGCACTATGTTTTCATAGCATTCAGTTGGAACGTTTGTTTTAAGGACATTGGGCAGAATGTGGAATAGTGTGTTTTTGTCAATAAAATAAAAAAAAGAAAAGTGTTTGTTGTTAATCCGATTAATCGTGAAAAATTAATCGACCAACTAATCGATTATCAAAATAATCGTTAGTTGCAGCCCTAATGATTTCCTGCTGATTACAGAACCAGCATTACTATCAAAATGCGCATGACAATCGCATTCGATTAATCGTGCAGCCCTAAAATACACATAACATTGCTTTCGTCATTATACAACATAAAATCTACAACAAACCGTCAAATAGGTGCTATCTACGCGCACCATTACTTTAATCTAAATTATGGAAAGCCTTTAGTGTAATATCAAAAAAGGGAAAACATAAGAGAAACGGAAGGAACCAAAAAGCACTTTGCAAACATCAAAAATTCTGATCAAAAATTCTAGCTGCCAATCTTGCACACAGCAAAAAAAAAAAAATTATACCATAAGTATTTGCCCTCCAGGGGCGCATTACATTGCGAAGAAATATGCGGATGTGCTGTTCTCGACAACCACGCCCAGTTCCCATAGCTATTCACGCGCTTTACATATTATGTCTTAAAGGGATAGTTCACCCTCAAAAAATGAACATTCTGTCATCTTGAACTCACCCTTATGCCGTTCCAAACCCGCATGACTTTCTTTCTTCCGTGGAACACCAATAGAGATGTTTGGCAGTTTGACAGCCTCGGTCACTATTCATTTCCATTGTATAGAAAAAACATGCTCAATGTTCGTCAATGGCGACTGAAGCTGTCAGTTTGTCAAATTCTGATGAACGCGTTTCACGAAATACAGTTCAGCGGTTTTTGACATAATGGTAGTAAATAAAGACCATTTTGGGTGAACTATCCCTTTTCGAAGTTTCCATGCGCTAAAAACTAGGTGACTTGCTGACTACACAAAGCTTAACTAGCAACATCAGACTACAGCCGTGGGACTTGTTTATTACGAATGTTTCATGGTGCAATGCATACAAACAACAGCGCTGCCCCGCACTACATCAAATGTGGCAAGCTAAAATGTCATGGTGACATATTTTACCGCTGCTTTCAGGTTAAAAGCAAGTTAGCTTGTTGGCTAAGCCATATGATGAAGGCAGGACTGCCCATCTCCATGGCTGACTGACCTCACAGCAAAAAAAAAAAAAAAAACCCGCTGCTATATGTAATGTCAAGACACCACTAATGCGTTTTTAATGATTTGCCCAAGTTCTGTGTGTCGATAAGACTGATAAAGCAAATGGAGGCGATGTGTGTCAGGCGGGTCTCTCGATTAAAAGACATGCTGGAAGCTCGTCTGATAAGATCAACCGAATTGCCAGAAACCATCGATGATAGACGGAGAGTCGTTAAATGTGTTACCATAACAGGAGCAAGTAGAGTTGACTGAATTAACAGTGGCAGAATTGATGACTCAAATGAGAGAAAGGCTTCGGCTTGTTTCAGCACCAAAAATACACTGAAACATTATTTTACGCAAGGACGCACACAGAAAACTGCAACTGATGACCAGATTATGATCTAAACCCTACAACGTGTCATTTTAGCCATAATCTTTAAATGAAAGCTCGACCATATCAGATAACATACCAAGAGAAAGAAACAAAAAGGGGCGGCCTAGATCTGCCAAGCAAAAGCTTATTGTTCATTCCAGCACGTTAGCATCACTAGCTATTCAGTCATGTGCCTTGCATCGTCCATCGCCGTTTGAATTTCATATCTCATCGCAAATGATAAAACAGCAAATACAGGACCATTGCGCATGGAATATATCCAGATCTGGCGGATTCTCTTACCTGAGTGTCTGGGAATAACGACGGTCCTGTCGGAGCTAAGCTAACCGCGGATCACAGCTGATTCTCACGGCAGTCGGGCTAATCCACGGGGTTTCCCTCCAATCAGACCAGCCCCAGGAGCCGAGACAAGGCTGGGCCACGTGACGTCAAAGGTAACCAAGGCGACGGCTGACTTCACGTTGTCTGTGATTGCACGAGAGCCAGTTCGTGATTCAGTGGTGCACCATTTTCCTCCACTTTTTCTTCCACGAATCCACGTCCTCAGCCCGTCTGTTTCCATAAATTATACCACCAAGGTCTATCCGTTTAGGTTATGTTTTATTATTATAATGTGACGTTTAACTCCGAAAAGAACGTAAAGTGTATTGTTAACTGCGTAGTTTCGAGATGAGTCAATTTGTTCCATGTTTACAAGTGTGCACATGAATAAGATGGTTGGATAGCTTATGAATGACAAATGTGACCCTGGACCACAAAACCAGTCATAAGTAGCACAGGTATATTTGTAGCAATAGCCAACAATACATTGTATGGGTCAAAAGGATCAAATTTTCTTTTATGCCAAAAATCATTAGGATATTAAGTAAAGATCATGTTCCATGAAGATATTTTGTAAATTTCCTACTGTAAATATATCAAAACTTAATTTTTGATTAGTAATATGCATTGCTAAGAACTTTATTTGGACAACTTTAAAGGCGATTTTCTCAATATTGTGATTTTTTTGCACCCTCGTATTCCAGATTTTCAAATAGTTGTATCTCGGGCGAATATTGTCCTATCCTAACAAACCATACATCAAAGGAAAGCATATTTCAGCTTTCAGATGATGTATGAATCTCAATATAATTTTTTTTTTTTACCCTTTTTGGCCCAGGGTCACAAATATTTATATTTAGAAAATTGCTTAATGAGGGCCCTCACATAATTCAGTGCTTCAAATTGTGTTATTAAAAGTATAATGAATATAAAAATCCTCCACAAAAATTGTAAATTCGGTTACATTTCTTGAATTGAACTATGCCTAAATATTTCTATTTGCAACTAGGTAGTTGTAATGAATTCTTTTTTTTTTTCCTGAAAATCATGGAATGGCGACTGTGAAGAGACCATCATGAGCAAAATTAGAACACAGGCCATACTGAGCTTGCTTGGTAGAAGAGGAGCTAATTCTGCACTACTCCAGTTTGTTTCCATGGGGAATGAGTCTATTTTCTACATTGTCACATGTCCTCCCATCAGATATGAATTCAGTAACCTATTTCGGGGCAAAACTCTGTATTATTGGTGCAAGTTAAGTCCACAGTGAGACCGAAGCATTTATACAACCAGTGTGTGTGCTAACAAATGCAACAGCAGTTTCATTTGAATGTGAACAGTGATTACCGAGTTTGCTCTGTAACTAGTAGGGCAGGTTTTTCAGTTTTCTTAAAGTCACACCCCAGTACAGCACTCAGAGAATGACAGTTCAAAGTAACGTGAGATACTCATCCGACACTATGGTGTGGTTATGTTAGTGCACTAAAAAGAGAAAACTATGCAGAGAACAATGTTAGTGAATCAGACAAAATTCCAGTCGTTATCTTTGCAAAGGGTGTAGATGCCTTTTCCAGAAATGCTTCTGTAGCTTGCTATTGTCAAACACATAGTTTACTTAAAAGTATTTCACCTTATGCTTATGATATAATATCTTGATGACAGGAATACAAAGGCTCCTGACACCACCAAACAACACATTTAAGTATGCTGATTTGCATATAAGTTCTCTTTTGCTGTGGTAAGAGTCAGTCAGCCTAGATTTGATATTTCTAAAGGAATTAGGCATGGGGTGCCCTGTTACCTCCATACCTCTTTTTGTTAGTAAGTCAGCTTCTTTCCTCTCATATTATATCACTATTGTTGATAGAGAGATAATAATTACACAATTAGCCGATGACACTACTCTCTTTATTCAAAATGAGAATCAGATATCTGTGTCAATTGATTGAATTGGTGAATTTTCAGGAGCATCTGGGGTATACTTAAATTTGGCTAAATGTGAGCTTATGGCCATAAAGGAATGTCTCGAAACTAGCTATAATTCCCTTAAAGAATGAGGTTCAATGTCTTGGAATATTGATAACCAAAGACCAGAAAAGAAGGTGCTTGCTAAATTTTAGTCCTATTATTGAAAAAAAAATAAAAAGAAGTTAAATCATTGGCTTATAAGAGACCTTTGTTTAAGGGGTAGAGGTTTAATTACAAAGGCAGAGGGTATTTCTAGACTTATTTATGCAGCAATGGCTTTGCATCTTGAAAAAAACTATGTAAAGAAATTGACAAAATATTCATTGACTTTTTGAAATTCAATTGACCATTTTGAAAAATAAAATACATTACATAAAGAAGACAGTTATTATGAATTCATATGAAAATGGTGGCTTAAATGTTCTGGACTTTGCAACAATAAGTAATACATGTAAGGTTAATTGGCTTAAACAAACTGTTAACAATTCTGATTCCATTTGATGTTTTATTCCCTCCCATATTCTATCAAAATGTATCTAGTATTCATATTATATCTAG